GCACGTCAGTAACAACGAGTCTACAAGTTGATGCAGTATGCAATGTGATATATTAAAGTGTGTCCACTTGGACCATGCAATACATAATAACGGAATACCACTGTATGTCAGCTAAATGTTGTCAGCTCCACGCAAGAAAACAAACATCTGGAAAACCAGACTGAACGATTTTAATAACCTTGGTGACGATACCATTGTTACTGGAAGGAGAGACCTTCTCATAATGCGAAAATTGCTTTCTTTGAAACTGTATACGATAACGGCGTGTGTGTATGTCAAGTTTACGATCTCTTAGAGACTGTTGAAAACTTTAGTGATACACTAGAAACAAATTAATCATTTAAAAATGGGGCAAGGCGCCACCCAGACGCAAATCTGGAAGTAACTCGTTGGTAACAACAATTTGATGTGGCGCTTTCAGCCCCGGAAATAACGAAAACGAGTTTACATTTCTTAAATCTGATGAATAGATAGTCGGGAGTTGACAATTAAGGGCAATGGCCCGGAGATAATGGCAATCAAAGCGAATTAAACTATCACATTCCATGTTTCTAGCTATAATACCAATTAAAACTGCTATATTTGATCTGGCACTAAGTATTGCGCATGCTCCTGATTTGCACGGTCCGGTGCTTAACACATGGGTGGTAAACCACTCGAGGTATAGGACTGTATTTGCAATTGGGGTTTTCCCTTTAAATAGAGTTTTATAACCCCACATCTATTGAATGAGAGCCGCTAAAGTGATGCTCGAATTTGTGCGAGCTGTTGTTCCCTTTGTATAGGATTTGTTAAAGAATTACTTATTTGCAATGAGTCATCAGCAAATCGGATTTATGTGGGCTAAGTGTTGGTGGTCAGTTCGGTAAGCACTACAACATGTGCGAACTGATAATAGACGTATGGTAACAGATTCGGTGACTCACGTTCATCGTATCGTTCTCATCAAGGCACCACGTCGCCGTCGTTTTATAATTATAACACATTCTATCACTTTCATTTAAAAATGTATATTACAAGTATTTGTAAAGCCATGTTGACATTTCGATTTAGTCGTAATACACATGAATCGTATCATATCATACCATTTTTATTGGTACTCTTGAAGCTGCAATTGGAAGAAATATTCGCAACCCAGTCGGCGTCATAAGGTATCGGATTCTCCAAAAACAAATAAATAACTAATAACTTGACGCCGATTGCGATGATAACAAACTACATGAGACATTAAAACGACTTGCTACACAGATATAAGATTGTATGATTGTTTTGTAGAACACAGCAAGGCACTTCTTTGGCTATTGTTAAAAATGGTATATATACAGAATTCCAATAACACTGTCTGAGACTGGAATACAATTCATCCAAAAATAAATATGTACTGGGTCTCTAATGTAAAGACATACTAAGTTATTTTACTCCGCTTCAACAAGCATCTATACAACCCAAACGATATATAAACATCTTTCGACGTGGGGACATTGGAAATGGTATTCTTTGACGCACTTCATAAACAACGCTTAACTTTGTCTGTCTGAGACATGCTATTCATTATCTGCCGACATAAAGTCTAATGCTCTTACAAACATTCAGCTAGTTGACCAGAAACGATGAGCTCATGAATCTTGTGATGTTTACCTGAGTTAGTATATGGTTGAAAGAGCGTGAAAAAAATGGTACAAGAATAGGCCGGGTCGATTATGGGTTAGCCTCTGTTGTGTTTACAACCACGTATACATCTAGTTCAGTGTGTAATCCCGTCCTCCGAGTTGTCGCATCTCATTTGCTCGCCTCCACTACTCTGTACGAGCTCGCAATCCTCGGTGTCGCTACTAGTATGTTGCTAGCAACGTCTATTGAAAACGGTAGAACATAACTGTTATAGCACACGGTAGAAACGTCGGTAATTCACAACCACACAGAGAGCTCCAAAACTCACGTTCCCTTTTGTTATTGACATTGTCAGTGGGGTAATCGCGTTTTATCGAATGCTTTGGTTAGTGTCTATACTAAGCGTTAGTAGCAAGAAAGCGTGTATTTTTAATTGCTGGTTACTGATTGACATTGTCACACGCTGGAATGTAAACTAGTTCGGCCATCATATGATCTGATAAACGCGTCTTTCGAGTTCTCCATCTGAAAGGTATTATCAATGATTGCTAATAATCACGTGACAGGGAAAGGCAATGTGAAAATGATGTTGTCATATAGCTCTCTGGTGGGCACAGTTATCTTCCGACGTTTTGCTTGCCGTGGTCAGGTGGTGATGATATGTTCATATGGTTCTGAATCTAAACAAATCTCAAATTTGGTTCAGTTGATCATTGCTGCAATAGATCTTCTCGATTTCCTGATATATGTAGTTTCATTTTTATAGAGCTTGACATTTAACCCCGGCACACATGTTTACGATGTCATTAATCATCATAGACAGACGATTAAGAGCCTGGAGCATCCGCCTACAACTTGACATCGCTTTTCATTGAAGTTGGGGACGTATCAATTATCAAATAAAGCCAAATCTAAGTGTAGCTACATGATTCAAACTCGTCCGAATGCGCATGCGCTGAATGCATAATACTTATTAGATTTCCTCACTAAAACAATGTGTTAATTTTTAGGTAAACAAGTTAATTCATTTCTGTACATGATTTATTAATTTAACTAAGCATAAAAGAATAACTTCGTTGACTGAAGTCGGCAAAACACTAACTATAGTAATTGATATCTTTTTAATGTGTGGATATGAATGTTGTAAACTTATTATAACTTATGATTCTCATATATAGTGCGTGCTTCTTCCATCGCTATAGAGCGACCTCTATACCAGTATTATGTGTAAAGCGCACCTCTGACATCCAAGCTACTGGTGTACTAGCTACCATTACAGTAGTTTTCACGGCACTACTAGTTTAGAGTATATTAAAAAACAGGATTGGTACAAATTAATCAAAGGTAGTTACGTTTACAGCGAGATCTCGCGTAATGCGTGAAAGGTGCGGACAGAATCGAATGATTTGATTTTGAACTTAAATTTTGTTTTATAACTCAGTATCGGAATGTCGATCTTTTCAGGGTTGATTATGGGTTTGAGATAACTTTAATTTATCAAAATCTTCAATCAACAAATATGTACAAGACGCTATAAAGCGTTTGTCGGTGAATCCTAGGACTATTTTTCCATTCGATTTCAGGCATAACGCGGGATCTCGCAGTCAACGGAAAAAGATCAAAAGTTGTGCTGTCTATTACTGGAATCTCAGCCACCGGATCATTTCAATAGTTTCTGATTTGATTTAAACAAATACCGATAGTGTGACAATAAACTCCCGAGTGTAATATATATTGTTAAATTATTTTTAAACATCTAACATATTTGCTCTATGGGACACATTCACTATACCATTATAGCTATTTTCTTTTCATAAAAGTCAATTTGTCGTAAAACATTTCAAATGAATAAACTGTAATGCATTTAACAGTGAAGGTCAAATGTCAATCAACCTATACAATTGTATTATATTGGGACTATATATGACAAAAACAGGTGTTGGTGGTCACATGCTGGTGGTCACGTGTTCGGACACATTCCAGATCTCAACATTGGCATTACTTGATCTTTACCAGACACCATGGAGCAATAAAATACGTACCATTCGTCGTTTAACATTTGATATATGAGTTTACGGTGTCATTATTCAGGCGAGTTGAACTTTGGATGGAACACGGCAAACACAATATTGGCAGTATTCTTGGTAATAAATAAATTAATTAATTAATAAATAAAAAGAAGAAGACAAAACAATCTCAGTATGATAAGCAGAATTACAGATCGCAAGTTAAAATTTACATTGTTGTTCATTGTATCACTTTTTGTATTTGACTTGTAGAATATTTGTTGGCGCCTTGTCGGTAAACAGGTAAGTTCCGTTAAGTAACGGAGAATAGTAGAACATGGGTCACATGATTTGTATGGCGTACCATATTTCTGGTTTCAGGTAACGTCAAAAAGACGGTCAGCAGTCAAGGATTGTACTTATGCCTTATCCCACTTGTGCTCCCATCCGGTTGTAATAAGTTTTTGGGGTAATTACACCTTTGTTTTTCGGTACTATCGGAAGACATATAGTCACAGTCATCGTAGTGCCGCCTATACGCATGCAGATGTCACATACGAAATGATCAAGTTCTTTTCAACAAGAGTGGGGGTGAAATGATCATAATCGCCACAAAAGACGCAATGTTCTATTACACATATTTGTTTTCAGCGTTTCTCCGCTTGTTCTAGGACAAGGGGATTTTTTTTCCTTATCTAAGAGTTATTTTTGTAAATTCAACTGAACTCGATGATATGCTTCACAGTTAGATAGAACAATTATCGCTGGTTTAAATACCATCCAACGTACAACGTGTATATAATTACACTATAATTGAATGCCTATCAACAGAAGAAACACGCCTATACTCGTCTTTGCCCCAACAGGCGGTCCGCCTACAACATATCGTAAGCTACGCCAGGCCCGCCTACAGCATATCGTAACCAACGTTACTAGGCCCCGCCTACAGCATATCGTAACCTACGTTACTAGTAGGCCCCGCCTTAGAAAATAATCATATTAATCATATAGCTGTTCAGCGGGCCGAAAGGGAATGACGTCATCCTGCATATGATCTAGCTTACTGTCGGTGGCATTTCTGTTGTGGTGTTTCTGCGGCCCAGTGGATGCATAAATCGTATTAATAGAACCCCGGTTCTTTTGTTTTGTGAACCTAATCCACAGGGGCCGTGAAAGCTGAACGAGTCGACAAGGATTATTGATACTACCCGTTCATATATAAGAGGCTAACATCTGTGACGTGCAGCACTTGCTACCAGCCTGGCTTTCTTGTTACATGACAGTGGGACGAAAACAGCAGCAGACGATCCCCAACAGCTGGACACTGAGAATACACTGCTCCAAGCTCAAGACGTCTACACTTCAAAAACAAATCGCATTCAACTTTTAACCAACCAAGATGACAGCGTCAATATTTATTTTCATCACTGCCGTTTTCTCACACAGCATTTTGCAGGTATTTGTTTTTATTATTATTTAAAAACTAGAAATGTGGCGAGGCTATAACTTTATTTTGGTCTGGGTCAGGAGCCAGCCTCGTATGGTGTGTTAAAAGTAGTGACACGTTTACAGCAAATGGATATATCGTCTGTCGTGTCTTACTTTCAGAGTTCATCAAAGGTCTGCTCCGTATTTGACATAGTATGCACTTTCTCACTCTATTATAAAAGTACGTACTGCACCACACTTTTTATTAGTGCTATTTACATATATATATTTCTATCCATTATAACACATAGCGGTCCATCCTATCAGCTTCTGTATATTTATTTTATTATTAGGTTCATGGAGTGCGGATTGGAAGGAATTCACACATTGAGTTCGGTAAGTAGACTCGAAACGAATTTTGTAAACTTTTTTCTCCCTTTGTTGTATCCGTACAACTTAGAATAACGTAAATAGCCCTGCAAATGTAAGTTGGTATTTAGACGAAAAAGTCACGTGACCAATTGTCACTCAAGTGTGCGAGTCGGGTGAATATGGCGGGAAATGTCTGCTGCAAAGCAGGTTAAAATCAAATTCTTATTGTATTTCAATTTGATGGAAAGTCATCAAGTTGATCCGTCTCAAGCAGGGAACTAGTCTTACCCCTGTTACAGAGACTGTCTTTGTAAACCCAACATATATCGGTGTAATTTATAGCTTTTCTTGGTATTGTGACGGTTGTACGTGCCTACAAAGAAAAGTCTTCGACTATTGAAGTTTATCCTTTTAAAATACTATATATACATACCCAAGTTCCCCGGCAAGTTCCTTTATGAGTGACTAGAACCCCCCTATTTAAGGAATCTTTTGTGTGGCGTATGCCTGGAACCACCGACCAAATTGTTACATACAAGACAGGCATTGTGACCAACTAGACAGCGCTTCGTCGGCTTGATTTAAAAAGTGAATGCTTGAATGACCAGTATATGCCGGGGGACTTCAATACCTAGAGGCAACTATTCCTTCCCTTTGGTGTTTGTAAGCGTACGTTCTCTCTGCCATTTCCTGGGAAGGGAGGGGTGGACATATGTTACAATGAGCTGATCGTACCATTAAATTGATAGTGTCTCACTCATAATGTCAAGATCTCGAAAAGTCAAATCGCAAGTACGTTCGAGATAAGGTGTATAGTTGTATCTCAAGTGATTTGGGATAGCATTAAAGCTGAGAAGTTTCTAAAATTTCAAGTCCTTCCGTTTGTGGTGGGATTTGTAAGTGTGACTCCTTTGACGGTACCGCTCCTAATATGCGCTACTTAGAACTCGTCTCGTGGCTTGCTTGTTAAATCCTATATAGTATATTAGGAGCAGGAACTCAATATATTCCTCAGTGAGAGTTTTAGCACGACAATTCAACTTAACGCTACGGGGCTTTCCCACAGAGAGTTGATCGAATTACCCACCGGTATCGACTTACGCCACTCGACAAAGTGGCGTACTTGGGAGAACAGTATAACTGGAATATCATTTGACTAGTGAATTGCCCACTTTCCCCGTCACTCTAAGAACTAGCCAAATCCTCGACAGAGAAGAAATAACAGTGAAGAACCCTGTCTCGACATACTTACATGACTCTTACAAACCGTTTCTTTTCAAACAGATCATTTAGCAAAGAAATTGAGTGACTACGAGATCATCATACCATACCTCTCAACGTCCGATGGTCGATTCATTTCACACAGGCTAGCACCTCAAGAGGGGAGTGGCGACAACACATTAACTACTGACTCCAAGAAAGGTGTCCGTAACCGCCGTTATTCTACAGACAACACTCAAACCAATGAGATGCATTTCTCGTTGAAGGCTTTTGGGTCAGAGTTTACACTAAACGTTCATAAAAATGTACATCTTGTATCCCCTGGTGCCGTTGTCGAATGGATGACCTCTTCGGGGAGAAGAGAAGAGACAATCCAAGAGGGATGCTTTTATATCGGTGAAGTTAAAAACAAATCTCACTCAACAGTCGCTGTCAGCAATTGCAACGGACTGGTAAGTCAGTCTGTCTTCAATTTCAAATTGCGTTTGTTTCTTGTTGAATTCGAGAAGTTGTATATACGTTCAATTTCTAGGTTGTTGAATATACTCAGCTAGAAGTGTCCACGGTTCATTCCATTTCAAGACAGAACTAAAGTATCTGGGACATGTACGACTAAAGACTGGCTTGTCGGTAGGCAGGACTCATGTCATTTGACCCAGTTTGCTTGCACGAGGTGGTAGCGACATGTTGGTCCAACAGTTTTAGAAAGTCTAGACGGTGTTAAGATAGTTTCAATGTTTATATGCAGTCATTGGAGCGATCAACAGTCATAGTCCATCTGAAGGTGTCACCAAATCCCACATACTGTGTTACCAACCAAGTGTTGTTTTCCCATCCCTCTTCATCTATGGCGCTAGGGCTTGAGAAGGTGCTATACAAAGGCAATAAAGAACCAATAAAGTGGTCAATAGTCAACGCAGACACGGCGTGTGTTTTTTTATTCTGACCTCACTTGTCTTGTTAGTATCTTTGTATAATACTTGCACCTGATATAACCAATCTCGTTAAAACGACAGCACCACTAACTGCCGCCAGACAGTGCAAGGCTGCCAAGAGATCACAATATAAACACAGGCAGATTACAAACATATAAACAAGCACACACGAGATTCCAACCCGACCAAGGCAAATCGCCTTGCCATTACTGTAAGTAGGCGTACACCTCAGTACGTCAGATTCACGGACTCAATGAAATAAAATAACGTGATCATCTCTAATCTTTACTGTGAAGCCCTGGCGGAGTAGGCATATTTATACGCACCGTGTTATTGCGCATGTCAACATCATATACGCACAGTGTTATTGCGTATGTCAACTTCGTGGAAGGCATTATTAATACCCTTCACATGTAAATATGATCGAAATGTCAAGGTTTGGTGCTTTAGTTACAAATATCTCTGGAATCGTGTTCTGTGGTGTTCCTTTGAACGATGCCCCATGTACATAATGAATATATCATTACATTTCTCATATCCAATTACTTCATCTACTTTTGCATATATAATTAGCATTTCCGCAAGCGGAAATTATGCTTGAAGACCAGTTGCATTTTCCAGGTACTAGTAAGCTCGAGTACTATTTTATAAACAATTTCTTGACGTCATATGGCTTTTGTTTTTAATTCACACGTCGCACCTAATTAAAATAATACTTTCCTAATTTTAAATTGGAAATGTAATTGCCATTCCGGAAATTATTGAGTTTGGGTGCAAGTTGCTATCGAACGTGAAATGGTATTGGAATTATATTGTTTTTGAGTTTGATTGGACGGTTGCTTTGCCGTCACGTGTTGATAAAAGAGCTTTAAACCCATGTTAAATGTGTCGACATTCGGTGTCCTCCCTAGTATTAGGATATGGAAGTTGTTGTAAGATAAAACAGGAGCTGGTCATTACGTTATACAGAGCTGACTTGTTGACAATAATCTGCAGACTGTTAATGGATATTATTAAATTCTCTCGTGTCGGAGAATGTGTTATTGTCATCACGTGACTTATTCATTGGAAGTAGTACATTTGTTGAGATCCCATGAGATTATTAGATCTTCTGCAAGAGTCTGTTGAAGTAGCCATAAACACGTATTCCATCGCACACGTGTCCATGCATCTGAATACTGGGTTCAACAACGTTTATTGACCGATACCGCGAGATTAAATGTCAAATGTTTTGAACTTCATTACGTGAAACACGACATTTTGATAATCGTATATACATTATGCGTGTGTGTCATCAGTCACCTCGTGAATCTGCACGTGATCATAGTAGGCCGTTTGTGTATTTGACACATTTTCAATTCATCGGCCATAATGTCCGCAGCTAGGGTTCTCGTACATATAATGCCGTAATGGGAAAATGAGCCGCACACGTGACACAGATGCTTTGAAATTGAATGTACACGTACAACAACAACTACATAAATTATATGTTGTTCTCAGTCTAA